TTTGAATAGAAATAATGATGAGAGGAAGAATCGCCGAAGGTGCGGGAACGGTGGTAGAAGAATTAAGTAGTAGTTCGTTGTTGGGTGCATTTTTCATATTTTACTCGAAGCTAGCATTAGATTTTTGTCGGTTAGTGTTTCTTTCGATTGGAGGTTGGCGAGGTTGGACGATTGAACTAACTGTAAAGATTGAAGAGTCGAAGAGTGAACCTTCCGGAAGGTGGATGTATCGTGTAACCTTGTGATTACCATAAGCGTTTGTGGGTACGGTAATTTTTATAATGAGGTAACGCAATAAGCGATTCGGTTTAAGGCGCTACCTACGAGCTGGTGCAACGGAGTTTATTAAATTCAATATTGTTTTTTGCCGGTGCTCGTTGACCGACTGAGCGTCTTCCTTTGGGTTTACTATTATTCGATATTGCACGCTATTTTCTTGTGTAATTTAACTTATTGCGTTTTTTAAAACGGTCCATTGTGATCGTTAAAACTTGCTTGTATTCGACCAAAGAACGGTTTGTTTCAAATCGGTTACGGTTTTGTAAAATTCGGTGCTCAAATTTTTGAAATATTTGCGGTGTACCATAACATACCGAAAAATGTTAGTTATTTCTTCACGATAAGTCGAATATATACAGGGTGTCCTTTTACTAAATTTACTTCACAAACAGTGTATTAAAATAGTCAAGACATGCCCCAAATAACATTTTATTTACATTGCGGCAAAACCACAACTAACAATCTAACAGTCAATGTCAATTTTTGCTAATTTAAACATTCAAATGTGTGAATTTATTTAACGTTCCACACATTTTCCGCTCTAGAAAATTTTGTTATTAAATAAATTTCAATTTAACTTCATAGGACAACACTAAAGATTCTTGAATTGCATGTTATATGTATTTACTTATTCTCTTCGAATGAGTGAAAGTAATGATAATTCGGCAAATATTTACCAATTTGTTATCCAATGATTAGGTAAATGTCAATGAATTTCTGGATAAATATTTGATTGATACACAAACGAATATCGAGTTTCTTTGTCCTCTCGATAATTTCTAATACAAAATTAGCACGTTTTAAAATAACAATTTGCGGTAAAACTTATTTGATGTTATTATATTAGAAACTTATTGTCAACACGGGAACATGAACACGTAAATTTTATTGCGAAATCGTTAGAAATTAAACAAGTTACAATTTAACTAGAAGTGTACTCGGCAAATACATTTTGTGGAAGATTCGATTTCTCTCTTTAAAAGATTAAATATTTTTCTAGTCTTTTCCTCGAATGCATACATTTTTACTGCATGTGAAAAAACCGAATTCTTGTTATTCATTTAAAATATTGACAGTTTTGATAATACGTCTGGTATATTATCGTCTTAAATTTACACATTTTAGATATTTCATTCCAATATTCAAGGTTTTGACGGCCAATTAAAAGTATATTATTTCTGAAAACTTTAAGCCGTTAAAAGGAATTTTAATTATAAGCTCTTCAGTGACACGTCATGTCAGTTAGGAAAAAGAATTTCAGGTAAATTCCTCGTCGATTCTTAACAAGTATCTGCGTAATTAATCGAACAAGAAGTTACAGTAAAGTAATATTTGTTTGTATAAATAATTACAAGGCTTTAACGAAATGTTAAATATAATTGAAGGTTAGCGATCAAACAACTGGGTATCTAGGGAAAGCGCCTTACGAAATGAAATCTTTACGAGCCATCTAAAATGCTAATTTGCCCGTTAAGGGCAACGTGGATACCCATAAAGCCGAGCGCCATTTTTATACCACCATCTAAATATCAAGTCAATAATTCGTCGCACAAGCCATAGATCTGACAGAAGTGTTCGTTGCGAACGTTATTAAGTCCACCTACTAATCTGACTAACAACGCCTTTGCTGTGCACATTTCCCACCCGCGCAATTCACTCAAAATACCGCAAAACCCACTTGTTGCATTCAGTTCCCAATCGTGTGCTCGTACATCATAAAAATTGTGAGTATTCTCCAATATCATCCGCAATTTTCCGGCAATTAATAGCTGGATAATGGTTGAAGTCTGTTCAGCAAAAGTTCGCGTATACCGTAACTTATGCATGAAAACAATGAATATACTAACGGATTTTATGATTGAACCCTGAGGATCTAATGTAGGCTTTAAATGATAAAAACTTTACTCGTACTTTAAGCTTAATATCCAGTAAATGAGATATTCTCAAATAGGATTCAACCGAGCAAAAAGATTACAGAGGATTACGCACGTATTTTGAATAATAATAAAATGCATTATTTACCTACTTCTCTTATTTTACATTAAGGGGACATGTTATTCAAATTTTTCTTTCCTGTTCCTCACAATATTTATTAGACTACCATGCCTATTACCAATATATTTTTTAACATTGTCTGCGTTAACAAAGCAACAATTTAAATTGTCTTAAATATTCGACATTGATTAACAGCTCTTGAACAATGTACTAACAAACAAAATAAGAAACTGTGCAATAAACAACAGACAAATAACTCGAAGCAAACAGTAATTTTTGAAACTTTGAATTTATGTTCTTCTGTAAACGATTACCATAACCAGAAAGGTCTTTGTAGAAAAAAACGTGAAGAAAAAATATCCACTACACTATAAATCAAGATGTATAGAGGAGTATAAAAGACTAGATTTTATTATTATAATAAATCATACAGTTAAAATGAAATTATCAATTGAATCATTGTAATAACTTAATTTAACTTCCTAGGAGAAATCATTTAATTTTTAAATTTTTTTAGATTTTTAATTATCTGTATTAGCATGAAAATATAATGCCCTGGCTAAAAATATAACTGTTATAAATTAAATTAAGTGATGATAAATTTTCCTAATTCAATTAATATAATACCTAAACCGGATCGATTTAACTATCATCTTATTTATTATTATAATTATTCGTAATAAATTTCTTAGCTACAGGTAATGTTACGCTTCATCTTGGAACGAAACGAAAATTATTAGATCTAATGGAATTAACGACTTTAATTTGTAAGATAACTGAAAAATCTGGATGCATGATTGATAGGAAGGTAAAATTTAATTTCGTTTTTTAACTGAAAACGTACGATTAATTCGAATAATTTTAATTAGTAACCGTAGGTAAAAGGATTGAAAATAAATTTAATCGAAATTGCACTTACCGATGCAATGTATTTTGCAGTGGATTTAATCCCTTTTTGGATTTAATCCCTTTAAAAAACGTTAATTAAAAAAATAATAAAGCTCTACTCTACTTGTGATATTAAAATATAAAAATTAATCCGCACCTATTACTTTTAGTATATAATTTTTATGATTTTGATGGTATGTTTATAGACTTTAATTTATTCTAAAATTTCACCGAATCATTATAACTGTACTAAGCAGCTGTTTGTTCTATTTTCTATACAAATACATGCTTAGACAAATTGTATTGTGTATAGAAAAAAGTCACTACTAGTACCACAAATATTCAGCCCGATAATCGGTTGCTAAAATATCGTTTCGTGATTGACCTATCGCCAGAAGACATTGATACAGAAGAAGGCCAGCTCGATGGGAATCTATACGAAAATACGTTTCGTAATGTATACTGTTCCATAATAATTTTTTAGTTGTTGTCGCTGGATATTGTATTTTAAATTAGATTTTTCGTTTTTACGTCCAATTTACCTACTAGTAAATTACTGTTACCTACATATCTAACGTAGGTATGAATAATTCGTGAGTTAGACATTTGGAATTCTCTCCAAGCAGTCTGGCAGAATTTTCTTAGCGAATTAAATCAAATAGTTCTTAACGCGATCGTTGATCTCGAAGTTTTGCACAAACATTCTGTTAGAATTTGTTTAGACCATGAATTATGCATAATATATTATTTTATAGATATTATTATAATGAAAGTAGCGATTATTACAGTTCGATGATTTCGGACAGCTGTTCTATCCATTAAGACGCGTTTCGTGGGCAGAAACAGGGTCTATAGAACGAACAGATGTAGCCTAAGATATGCAAAAATAATACAGCCTTTTTTGCATAACTGGGAATTTTCTATCCTCAGTAATATTGTCACTTTTAGAATTATTTCTACCCTCAAAATCGAATTCCAGTTCAATATTCAGTTCAACTAACGCCTGTGCTTATTCCATTTCACATTAATTATAATTATTGCTTGTAAGATGTATCGTAAAGATAAATAAAATAAAATAGCTCGGACCCATCACGAAGCTCGATTTCGTTCTAATCCCACGACTAATTTCTTCGAAATAATACGCGGGAACTGCGCTTTTTATTACACTTTTAATGACTTTTCTATGATAATTATTTCGAAAATTCGCTCGGACGCCTATCACGAATGCCAAGTAAATCGATCAAGAAAATCGATAATGTTTCGGATTTGGTACTAATTTCACAATTTAGTACGAAATCTCATCGTGTTAGATCATCTATAATAAAAAAAGTTAAATAACTGTAAATGCGCAATTGTGTGCAGGTTATTTAAAAGTCGCGCAGGTTATGTCTTCAGCTATTCCTGTCGCTTTGTACCTACATGTCTCAGCAGGTTTTGAAACGGTCCAAATTTGTAGAGATATTTAGTATTCATTTATATCACGTGTAATAAACATATTTTAACGGGATGTTATTCTCTCTATAGATGGTTATACGACTCGATGTCGAATCGAACCGGCGATATTAAAAATAGAATTGTTTTGTCAGGAATCGAACATCCGGTATTCAAATAAGATTTCGTAAGGATTTCAACATTAGATTACGAATAGATGTTAAATAGATAAAATCGAATTCTTATTCAGTCGACTAAACTCGCGCATTGTTTGTTTCGGTTTCATTTCAAATGCAACGAGGTCTTGCAATGGTGTGTATATCAAGTTCAAAACGCTTCTACCGACAGTTATTAATGATTCTTTTTAATAAATCGCGGGTATTGACGTATTGTGTTCCTTGTTGCAGGTTAAACTGATGGCTTCGCCGGTGCGTCAGGGCCGCTTTCTTCGGCGAACGGGACACCCCGAAATCGCACAATGATGCCAGCGAGATCGACGCCGAATCTGAGAGAAAACGCTAAAAGCGCGCTGACCTACTCCTATCAGCAGGACAAATCGACCCTGAGCTACGTCGTCGCGACGCCGAACGAGACGCGCCCCACGAGAAATGACGATTCTCCACCGCCGGCGCCGCCCGTTCGAGATTCATCGAGTCTCAAGTCCATCAAGTACGGGCCTGGGCACGAGAAGTTTCCATCGTGGCCCGTCCCTGCGGCGGCTGATACTCCACAAGTAATTTTTTTGTCTTAAAAGCTCACTGTACCGCTGCGCTATTTTTTCTGCGGCAGCAAAAAGTTTATCAATTAAAATATTCATACTCACGCAATAAATAACTGCGTTTTAATTGAACAATTCTTTGACATAACCTGCTGGAAATACATCCTGATCGCTATCGTGATTCAATAAAAACGCCGGAGTTTGTTCCAATTATTTAAATTACCGGCGTTTTTTATCGATTCTGCTGATTTGTTATTTAAAATAGCAATTTGTTCGCCGTAATTTGAAATTTAAGATGTAATCGTCGGTCGGATGATGGATGTAGTTTATTAGATCTATATTTATAGGGGAATTTATTGCGTTATTATGAAGTATTCTTCTTCCGCGCAAACTGTATAGGTCGAATGATAAAAGGTGCAATAAATTCGTCGACTTTTCGAAGAAATCTTCGGCAGGTTATTAACTTAAATGGCAATCAATTTACATTTATGTATTATAGTTGAGGTATCTTCTCAGTTGTTTTATAACTACCAGACTTTAGATATTTACTTTTTGTTTTGAATTTCCAGGCGCTCCGTAACCAAAATAATGGCGGTTCCCATAGATCAAAGTCATGGACAGACCATACAAATTATCCTAAAGAGAAGGTAGTACCATACACGAGACCATACATGAAAAGACAACATTCAGTATATACTCAGCAGGTGAGTCCAATATTAATTCCAATAAATACACTCGGGAACGAAATAAATCTTTTATTAATATCACTAAATTGAAAACTAATGTATTATTAATGAAACATTACATGCATTATTTGTATCGTACATACAAAGGTCACAAAAAATCGGTCAAAATATTAAAAATTTACCACATAGTTCTATTTTTAACTCGGTGTATTATTAATTAATGACAAAATAATAATTAAAATTTTTAAAATCACTGTATACCTATAATTACAATAAAAACAACAAGCAAAATCCGCATTCGTTACATTAACACATATACCTATTTTTTACGAAAACTGAGGCTTATACTGTACCTAATTTTTTTCTGATGATCACGACGCGCTTTGAACTGTTCGGTTGTTAACCTTAATGCTATCTCTTAATGATCTGTAATTTTTTTTGTACGATTCTGCCTGGTGTCTATCTAATTAACATACCACAAATTACTGCTAATAATATGCCATTATAAACGACAAGCTGCTTCGGGTCATAAACAATACTTACATCGTTAATTATACGAGAGTTGCGTGAAATGTTTGGCGTGTGATTAAAACGCTTTTTAGTGGGTAGATTCATACAAGCGGTTACACTAAATTAAATGAGAAAATTGATACAGTTTTTGTTTTTACAAGGAAACATTTAGAACTACACTCGTATACGTGTAATTTTTTCTTTGCCTGTTGAAATGGCCACGAATTACGCAATTTTAAGGTGTAGCAATGCAGAAAATTATTTTTCGAGATAAAGATGCTAAATATATTTTATTGCAAATAAATAAGCGCGAGAAGTAATAAAGAAATAGTGTTAAGTAAATAATTTATTTAATAGACAAACATTTATCAAGTTCTCATATTTTATTGAGCAAACATTATAATGATAGTATTTTTTATTTCGATTAGAATCTGTTTAATTAACTATCTTCCTATTAATTAGTACCGGTGCGGTCAAATATCACTCACAACATTAATAAATTATTTCGAAGAGGTATAGGAACTTGAAATTTACCCAAAGAGACGCGCCCGAGGCGTAGACACAACTGTATTAATAAGAATGTAAAGTTAAACGAACCGGTTAAGTAATATAATATTTTTTTTATTTTACCGGCTATCAAACGAATTCAAATGGCTTTCATCGAGATCACGGTCTCGTCATAGTCTACACTACACAGTTAGTTCCAAGATTCCTGGGATATCATTGCCAGCTGATTTACAACTTTCCATTTAAGGGAAACTCTCAATATACATATGTTCATTGGTGTGTCGATAGTTTCAGAACGGGAATAAAAATTTATTATTATTATTAAATGCTTAATGAGGAAAGAACATCGAAGAAACTAGAGAGATTCCTTTAAGCTAAAGCGTATAATAAGTAGGAGAACATAATATGTGATTATGATCTCATTTTCCATTCCTCTGAAACATTAATGTTCAGGAAGGCAGCTCTAATAATATTATTTGTCGCAGTTTAGCTAAAATTTCCTTATAAACTATTTACACACAATGGAATACAATTATTATTATTCAACCATTACATAACTGGAACCACCCACGAAGCGCTATCCTTTAGAAAAAAAAACAGTGCTACATTTATGCGCGAGTAACTGCAGACCCGTCTGTGTAAAGGAAGAGAAGAAGGACAAATATTTGATGTTGTACGACTTAAAAATCTTTTTATTTGTCATTGATTAACATGTTACAACATCTTCATGGGAATGTCGTCGCTGCTTTTTTCCATTGTTACGTGCTAAAAGTCAACCAGTACCGTTTAAACGAGCCTCTTTTTTCTCTCAATTCCAGTATATGAGATAAGAATTGTTATAATGGGTTTTAGAATGCCGATTAGGAAATCGCCTAGATCTGCTGTCGCGATGCAACAAGGTGAAGGACATTTTTTTTACCGATGAAATATCGAACTCCGGCGACATAAAGTTTAATTGTTTTATGCTTTCCATACCTATAACTGTACTCGACGATTTATTTTATAATTCAATTCAATCTTCAAAATCGTTTCCGAGAATTTAGAAACTGATACACGCATTAAAAGCAGTTTACAGTTTCGAAATACAATTGCCTAGACAGCAGTAGGTGAGGAAATTAACTTGAATCGAAAAAAAATTTTACTATGCAGATACCCATTAAAAAACAGTGTGGTATAATTTTACAAGAAGAGGTGTTAAAGCTAAGGCCTGATTTCTAGATGAGAAAATCACTGTAAAAACTAGTTTTTATCTTCTTAGGTGTATAATGACTTTTTTATTACACTCCATTATAACGATTTTACGTTACAGAAACTCAAAACTGTGATGGAGAGGTGCGAAAAAATCCCGCCGGAAACGTTCGAATCGCGCTACGACAAAGTGACCGACAGAATATTCCTGCCGAGCTTGGACAGCGACAGGAAGCTGCTGAGCGACATGGAGTACATCGTGCCATCGCCGCCCGAAAGGGACCTATCTTCCAAGCCGCAGCTCACCCAATGCGAGCTCGAGGAATACGCCAGGTCGTACCAGGAGCCCAAGTACTGCGACGACGTCGACTTGAAACCCAACCACGCGCTCACCGAGTCCGGCCTCGAAGAGTTCATGGAATACACGAGGAACTACGAGGATTCGTTATTCAGTTCGATTGGCTCCAAGCAGGACGGGAGCATCATCACCCACTTGCACCAGAAGCAGGTTTCCTACGCCCAATCGGAGGGATACCACAGCTACGTGTCCAGCACGGATTCCACTTCGACGCCGTTTCTGGACCGGTTGCGAAGAGACAGCGAAGCGGTGATGGGAAGGCCTTTGTCCTCGAACACTTGGGACGAGCTGGCGCCTGAGGATATGCCCAGTTCGGGCAGGAGCGAGGGCAGGGACAGCGTGGTGACCACCAGTTCGGGAAGTGCTTCCTCCAGTGAGACATTGAAATGGCACGGTTCGATGAGTGACGTTTCCGTGACGTCCCATAGTAGTTCCCATCACAATTCCTCCAGCAGCTCTACCAGACAATTGATAGCACACAGTGCGAGGGTGCAAACGCCGCAAAGGCACCACTCGGAGAGCGTGTTGTACATCAGCGGGGAGAAGGAAAACTCGTGGAAGGACAGAGAGAATAGGAATAATAACGCGAATAAATTAAAGTTGTTTCCTGTGAATACTTATACGGTGCAAAGCGAGAACCAGTCCAGCAATTCTAACAATCGGTAAGTTATTTGATTATTTAACGGTATATTGGAGTATATTTCTTTGTGTTGTCAATCAAATATTAACCTTAATACTTTAAATATCATTCGAATAGAAATTAGATGAATTCTGAGATAATTGTATGATTTAACTGTATCTGTACAATTTTGCTAATGGAATCATTTAAGTGGCTTTAAAAGCGTCCGAAAATTCGAACGTTGATTTAATCTTTTCATTGTCACACTAAATTGGCTTTAATAATTTATGAAAAGAACTAAATTTTTCAAATTCACTATAATGAGAAATTTGTTGAATATATTAATTTAAGGATATTTTAATTGATTGATTAGTTAACTAACTTTTAATTAACTCTTCATTAATAAACTCTAATCAATCAATTTGCTATCAATTATTTTTTTCCTATATGCAAAATGTGTCGCTCGATCGAGTTTACATAATGTTGTCTAATTAAAAAAAATCTATTAACAGTTAGAATTAAAGTAAATTAATGGTCATTCGACCATTAAAAATGTTCATAAATATTATCATAGGCACTTTCTAAAGTTAGCATACTTAGTCTATTTACTTCAAAATTGATTTTTAAATGAAATTATTAATAGTTATTAAATAAACAATTCAATGTTTGGGATAAAAAAATGTTTTCAATAAAGAAATTTTAGGAATCCGACAATTTTCTAATTTGTAGTAATTTCCATAATCGAATTCAAACGTTTACAACGTATCATAACTAGGTTCAAGTAGGTTGTCAATTATTCGAAAGTTTTCATTACCGATGAAAATATAATTATATACATAATTCATAGCTCGCGTCCATGTTTGGAACGTAGATATATTGTCTAATAAAACAATCTTCAGTAATATAACTACTGCATAATTTATTTTGCGGTCGCGGATAGCAAATTCGCCAATGTTAAATATTTTATGCTATAAAATCACTGTCAATCAATGTTTAATCTTTGCCAGGTTTTGATGTATTTACTCTTACTAATAGTCTCTTTTATTTTAATTAATTATTAGCGATTAATTGTCGATAATTATTCTGAGTATGCAAAGAGAGGTTATTTTTCAAATTTTTTTGCCTTTCTCTACAGTAGGTACTTATGTCTTGTTATTCTAGAGATTTTGAAATAATGTATAGAAATGTTACAATTTACGTGTATATTCAGACTCCGGATATGCCACGCTATCGACTCGATAAAAGCAAAAAGACAATGAACAATTAAACGATATTTTCCCGATTCAAGGTTTCCAACGCATGAACGGTTTTACGAGTTCACTATAAATTTTTTTATTATTCGTTTTGCATTTTTATTGGACGAAAATAAATTACACGGATTTACAATCGCTGTCGTAATTCATTTTAGAACAAAAAATTCGAAATCCTATTAGATACATAGATCTACTACCACTTTATTTTTGACCGATTTGAACTCACTTTTATTAATACTTAAAACATTGATTTTTTAAACGATTATTATGAGCGATGAAAAGGCTTGCTTATGATAAGTAGGTATAACGGAAATTCAAATTTTGATGACACTTCCACGGTGTTCGACCGTTTTCTTTTAATGTTACAGCATAGGCGCGGTTCATTACTTAATAAAAGCATCGATATTTTTCATTAGCAGATAAAAAATTCGACAGGTATCATTTCGTTTCGTTGATCTGTGACAAAGATACGTGAAAGTTCAATAATCAAAGTAGAAAGATACAGTTAGATCGCCCATTGTTGTTGAATGTATATTTACAATATGAAAGCTTATAGGTAACGTTTTTTTCTAATCGGATTTTAAACTCCTATATGCACAACTAAGGCCGTGTTTGTAATATTTAGCATTAACCTTGCAACTAATCGCCAATTTTTGGGTCGGTCTCAAGCTGAGTTCAATTCTTCGGCCGTGAAACTATTTCTGTATTATAATAGCTATAACATATATGTTAATAATAGAGAGATGGTATAAAAAATCACTTAATGGTAACGGTACTATCTAGTTTTGTGATGATTTAAAATAGTATACAGCCCGAGTTTTGCTCTGTAGGTCACGATATTACAAGGACGCGTTCGGTTAGAATGAATTGGGCTAATTTGAACAATATTAGAATAATAAAAAAACGCATTTTAAATTCTATAAAGGATATACGATTGATGAAGAAAGTTGCAACTGTAACGGATTTACTGATGCATTTCTTAATTCTCGTGTTATTCCGATTTCTTTACATATTATTATGCATGCGAAATAGGTATGAAATGTTGCAATATGTCCAACTAGAAGTAATTTATATCCAATTTATGTAATTCATAGACAATGCCGTTAAAAAACTCATAAGCTTTGCATATGAAATTACGTTAAGTATTTTAATCGGCGTTTTATGCAAACTAAATGCATTTGCACTTTTTTTTAATGGGACGTACGTAGATTATAAATTCTTTTGTTGATTTTTTTGCTTTTTTTATAACTTTGATCGTTTTTTCTGCGATAGCCATTAATAATAAATAAAAGTTGTCAGGATATATTTCATTGATTTTACTTGAAATTTCAGGTTATCAATTTCGTTACAATCGGCTCTATCAGTGGCGGACAGAATTAGCGAATTGGAGAAGCAGCAAAAATACTCATACTACCATCCCGAGAAACGGCACAAGGTGCCTGATCCCACGTTGAGAGCCATCCAAAAGAAAGCTCTCCTCTCCTTCTACGAGCGACACAACAATCCCAGCAACAAACTTTCCTGGAAATCCGAACCGCAACTGACTCAAAACGCTCTAACGTTACCCCAACCCGTCGCCAAACTCAAGGTGCATAAGGTAAGGAACTCGTTCAACCCCTTGTAGTTCTATGATGTCTTAATGTAAGAATAAGGAAAGAATATTGTTTAAAGAGCAATTGCTTTCAGGCTCAAGCGCCTTCAAGGAGAGCTTCATCGGCATCAGATTACGCCTCCGGCGTCAATTCGAAACGCAGCAGCCTGGCATCGAGTTTAGAATCAAAGACTGAAAACTACAAACCGATTCCGCGACACCAGCACAGCAATTCCTGCGGCAGCCTGTCGACGGACATGCTGGGCCCGATGATACTGGGCCCCTCGATTTCCGTGGACGATTACATCCCGGACCAACCTCCGGCGAGGCCGCCCAAAAATCCCAACCTGAGGACCGCGTTTCCGGATCTGTTCCAGGACCAGAGAATCCCGAGCCCGGACCTGCCGCCGCCGTCGCCGCCTACCGTGTTGGAGAACGAAGTGTTTAACAGCGACGAGCCCCTTCCGCCGCCGCCGCCGGAATGCGAGAACGGCTGGCAGGAGGATTTCAGCGAGAGATTGGCCGAAAACAGCACAGGTCACCAAGTTCCTGCTCCGCAAGTACAAAAATCGCCTAAGAAGGATGGGAAGATGATTCATCAGACTGTCGGTGAGAATGTTTTTTATAATTTCGAAATTATGTTGTTAACATAATATCCCTAATTTACTGCGTTTAGTTCGTCTGAAATATAATATTTATTGATCTATTCCGAGTAGTAAATTTTAATTTTCCTATTGACGACGACAGTTCAATCGTAAATTAGAAATTCCAACATAATCTAATGAATATATTACGATATTATTTAAATTTCTCCAAATCAATTAACTATATCGATGTTCGGTCGCCGGTAGTTATTTTTAGTAATAAACAATTAAAACCAACAGCGTTTCATTCGTTCGACTTTGATTTTAATAACCTGAATATCTATTGATGACATCAACATCTCAATTTTAGATCGATGAAAGATTAATGTTTATTGCAAATGCAATATTGTAAGATTAATAAGTTGCAAATTGTTTACGTTTCGTTCGATCGCTATCGATTAATTTTATCGTAAAATATTTCACCTTCAACTAATAAAACTGTTTGGTTGAAATGTCGAGAAATTGGCAAGAGTGTAAAATACCATTAGTTCATTTGCAGTTACTTTATCGCTTAAGGTTTAATCATTGCAATATTAATAGATACAAATTTAAATTATTTATTTATTTTTTAGGTCTCCCCGAGAGGCATCCTAGGAATATGACGGGGATGCGATCATCCATCAAAACCAAATCATCAGATCAAATCATCCAACAAGTTAACAGCAAGCCCTACGCCAACACTAATCACATAGAAGCAAATAAGCCTGAGCAAATTTTAGGATTTCCTAATCAAAGGGGATACCAGGAGAGATCCAGCGCACGGTAAACTTATACACAACGAATGTTTACGTTATTTACCGATGAATTATTTGTACTTTTAGGTATCCGAACTCGCAGAAACTGACAATGAACGGGAATGTTAATCAGAAAGTTAATGGTATGTCTGATCAGTATCGACCAGAACCGATGAGATCGCCTAGATCAGAAACCAAACATATGGCCATTCCTGCTGACACGCATCGAGCCCACAGGGCTTCGATCTCAGAAAGTCCTGGTAATAATTTACAATAAATTATAAATACAAGACACATTTTAGTGTATAATTTTTGGCGGAAGCGCTAGGTACACCAAAATTTTAAATTGATTTAATTTGCTACCCACTATCCAGTTTATGATATTTCTATAAAAAATAATAATGAATTAAATAGAGTATTTCCTTTAAGGTAAAGAAGTTCCTCCGCCTTTGCAACCTAGACAAATGAGGATAAATCAGTCTATGAGGGCGAAAATTTCCTACGATCATGTAGCTAATTCGATTGTGAAGTATCCACCTGATAAAGAAGTGTTCAGAGAACGTAGATCTGCCTCAATGTAAGTACCTAATTGTAGTTAAATATGTATATTTCTTAACGAGTGAATGTACGAGATATGCAACTCATATAGCATGAATGGTTATTGTGTATGTTGGATATTTCAATGGTGAGTTATTTGAAATTTTGAAAAAACAAGCTGTTTTGGTTAATTAATTATTCACACCGTTAATCATATTATTGTTTCGTTCGGTTAACCTAAACAAAACAGATCAAAAATTCGAAAAATTTATTAAAAAATTATCATTACTGAAAATCGAACGTCAATAATAATATGGAATTTAAGAGGATTTTGACTAATGTTTACAATAATTATGTACAATCATAACAGGTAATAAATATTTCTGAGTTCGGTAAATTTGAAAAACACTCCGGTGAGTTATAGAAATTACTGTTTTTAGCTTCAAAATGAACCCAACAAATTTATGTTTGAAACAGAACATTCCTTTCTACAGGAGCTAAAAATAAAAACATTGCATTAGCGTGGGTAACCTATCATATAGTATAATTTTTCACTCGTCTGGATCTGGAATGGCAGGATTCCGTCGGTTAAAAATGATTGACGCGCCCGAATAATAAATCAATTCGTAATGGCTTTTTAACTTTAACGTTAAAGAATGTAAATAATTAGTTAAAGACATTTCCAGCAAGGAAAGAAATGATAAAAATCACAAAAAAATCGAGAATATATGTTCATTTGCAAAGGTGAATGTCGCATGTCACACCAGGAAATGATTCATCCCGCTATGCACATATCGAAACTAGCACAATGTGACATATTTTTTTACGGGTGAGAAATTTTCGAAATAACGTCGCATACTCCTAATTTTTTTGTTGCAAAAATTCAGTTAAAAAATAATAATTCAAATTTATTCAATATTTGATAAACAAAATGATTAATTGCGAACCGACAGCGCATTTTATTTCTTGCGATGAGTGAGAATATCACTGTTCCATTTCCATTCACAGCCCGTGTATCTCAACAGTTCGATCAAAAAAAACATAATTATCCTGCTATAACAGAAACAGCTTTCTTACATAATTTTAAATAGTAAAATTTTAATCTAAACAATTGATTCGAACAGTAGTAATATTTAATTATCATATTTTAGGCGCGGTTCATCGTGATACTTGGCGTATTATGTCATTACTGCAAATAAAATACTTATAATTTGATACAACGAACTGTAGCGCATTTATTTGTATATTTTTTTCATTAATGTTGTAATCTAATAACAATAGACGTTCTTTCATCGCCTTTGGGTTAGTCGAATTTAGTCGTGTCGACAGAACGGGTAATTTAATATACTCGTACCATTTCAATTTTCTTTATTATAACATTATCTTCGTCCAAAAATTTTTCACCCAAAAATCACATAATTTATATCAAGTAAACGATCATTTTTAAATAGGTAGATAATGAAAAATCCAATAAGATAATTCTATTTAATTATTCATGAACATATTGTAGGTGTTTTTATTATTCCATTATCGTATTCAATGCGTGTCACAACTGACATAATAAAGATATTTATTATCTTAGGCCACAAAAGGTACAAATAGGTTCGAGGTGGATTCGACCCGAATACATAAATTAATATCGGCTATGTTAGAAAGACTATTTAGATTAGAGATTGCGTGTAATTAAAAGATTCAACTGACATAGGCGCAGTCTCGGTGAAAAATGAATTATTGAGCCAACAGGATGTTTCACGCGGGGATTGCTCAACGGATAATTTTACTGTTGATTTGTTGGGAAATTCGTTTGCGCATAAACTGAGTCTCTACAATAGCTGGCTCAAATTGAGGAAGCGTACTAATTTTCTGATCCTTCAATAGGATAGTAATTGATACTTAAAACTGTATTTTTTTGAATTTACGGTTCGATGAAAAGAACATCTGAAGCAGATTCGCGGTGAGATAACTAGAAAGTATTTGTTTCTGGTTTCTGTGCACCTATTCGGTAGCCTAACGATTTTTATTTTGTAATTCGCGCGATGTAATCAGCAAAAATTATTCAATCGACGACAAGAATGGTAATTTACAACTTAATAATTACTGTAAGTATTGTGAAAAATTGTATCAAGTACCCTTTCACTGTCAACTGTCACCTAAATATCAAATAAAAATCAAGATAAAATAAAAAACTCGTAGTAGTAAAATACGAAAGAACGTAAATACTCGTATGTGTTAAATGATATATAAAAATCCTCAATTTATCAAAGAGAAATCATATTATTACAGGGGATATCAAAAATACATTAATAAGAAAGTTTGCCTACTATAATTCTATTAATAACAACAGTAATTCACAAATAACGGTTCGTTTTTTATTATTCTTTTAACATTACGAATTCAATATAGTTTCTCCCATCGCGTTATAATTTGCAATAAACTATTCGACTACGATAATAAAAATACTAACATGCATATACGTGTACCTAACATAAACATGTGTAGATTATTAGCGAGCTGTTTGCTTCCTTAAATCCGTTTAATAAAGTCCATTAAATTAACCATAACGGATTTCGTTATTTATTCAAGTTACATGTTTCGTAATTTGAAATTATTTGAATTGCACTCGTCAATTCTCTGATCGCACAGGAAATTATTCAACGAATTTTTTGATTGATTATCGAGAGTAAATTCCAGTTTGGAAATCGACGCCCACGCATCCATAACTCGCAATTTAATGTTTTACGAGATTATTTTGAAATTTTGTTAATTTTGTTCTTATCACGTTGATTCACTAGGCATTTTCCAATTACTAATAATCCTTATTTGGTGCGTTAATTGTAAATTGATCGATTTTATTTCGATGCAAACATTTCTACCTATCGACGTTAATGCAGTTTTGGTTTGCATCTCAATTTGCATATGACTGCGATCAGTGCATATTGTTTTGCTTTATCTACCATCTGACATTTATCTCGTTAGTATGAAATGTATCCATAAATAGGTTCAAATTTCCTGAATTTCAGTCAACTATCAGAGGTGATTATATCAGAATTTAGTTGACATTTACGTTCACTTCTAGTTTGGCGGAAACAATAATAATATTGAAATTATTTTAGTTGGGAAATTCAATATTGTCGTGCCTACGTATGTGCCAATAATATCGGTACCTAAAGAGGAGAGTTATTCTATTATGAAATCGATCTTTTTAATATTCTGGTATATAATTGTTGATAAGTGAAGGGTACTCAAGCGTGGTAGTTTGGTATATGTAGAAGAATTTTATAAACTTATTAATCTAAGAAGATTGATTTTGTAATTAAATTTACCAATTAATTGTACATGTTTAAATGTGTACCGAAGAGCATCGGACTGTTAAAGAAACGATTTTGAACTATGTAAGTAAATGTATTTAATCGAGTAAAGCAAATAATTTTGAACAACTTTAATCAATCACTCGTAAATTAGCGATTTAATTATTAATTACATCGTAGAAGAATAAGTTAATTAAAAGTTAGTTAGTATAATATATTGTGCATCTTGTTTTCTAATTCGCATTTCCACGCAGATCTTATCATTTGCACGAAACGATCTCGAAACAAACATTTTTCGTTTTCTTCAGACGCCTCCGTCGTCGTGCGAACGTGTTCAAACAATTCGAAAAACACATTTAGAATAATTAATAGAAAGCGCGCGATTTAACGGTGCTTTGTGAATATATCAATCAGAAAAATCTCTATCGAAAAGAAAAGCTCGTTTCGTTATTAAAGAATACCATGCTCCATTAAAATTAAAACCGCCATCAGGCGGTGGAGTAATTTCTGAAATGGTATTAGAAATTATTCAAAAAAAGAGGAATCGGTTATCGCAATTTTATTGTTCTGTTTTTATTGAGTAGTTGGGAAGGTAAATTTAATGGATATTTTTTCTCAATGCTCTGTATTTATGTGCTTGAAACTTATCCAGAAAATTTGATGCCTCGTCCGATAGATATACATTTTTATACACCTGCGCTGAACATCCGGTTGAAATTGCTGTCAGAATTATAAAGGGTAAAGGATCATATGCGGAGGCGACTAAGTTACTTAAGGATTATTTCTTTTCATAAAAAAATTAAGCGTGTGTTTTATGATAAAATTCCATTATACCTAGAGAAAAATGTCAAGGATTTTTTAGTACATCTTGTTCTTTATGTCTCCAAAATTGATTATGTCATAAGTTTTATACATGTTAATTATACTAAAACTAGAAATTCCAATTAATTTATGAGCGATTAGATAACATTTATCCACAAATTTCAATTCGATCTTGCCTCAGTAAATTCGCTTTACTTTTAAACGTACATTGGTATTCCTAAAATGTTCATTATAGGCACCAGCATAGTCAACTTGCAATATGCAAGTCATTTTATTTCTTAATCTCCGCTTATATGCAGCGACTTTGTAATCTCGCAACTGGTACTATTAAGTACGAAATAAAAAGCTTAAACGATCAATCGAGTTTTAACGACCGAGAGAAAAGAAGAAGATAATAAAAACGAGCGTAAAAAAAGCTGAAAAGCGAATCGCTTATAGGTATACTGTTTTGTTACGTCACTGGTCAACCCAGTACCTCGTCAGGTTATCGCTCTCCTCGCGTTTTATTACCAGGGCGAATGTCAAGGTTGTGAGCGTTTTTAATAATGCATGCTGGATGCAACTCACTCAGTGGTACTGAAGGTACCTACGTTGTTGCCAAGCGTTTTTTTTCTTAACTTCCTGTTATTGATGGTTCTACGAATTATTCAGCAGTGTCCTAAATTCGATCGGTAACTCGTGAGAATCGTTGAATCCCATTTTACGAGTCCGAATCTAAATGCAATCTTAACCGATTAACTGTAACGCTCATTACCTAACGAGTTTTATTTTCTAGCCGGTGAGCCGTTGATTAAGGAAACTACGCGTAGACGTTTTACAAAGCCGTGTAATTTCGAATTTCTTGTGCGCCTTCGACGGGTATATTCGGCTGTTCTCATTGCCCCAGCGGTACTTACGCTTACTTACCGTG